GTTATTTATAAAATCTAAAGAAGTATCTAGCAGTGTTTTAGAAACTCTCTCCTTGAACTCCATCCATGTTTCATGATTGATTCCCTGCGCTCGAACTTGCATCTGTAGATTGCTTTTGACTATATGGAAAACATTTTCAATTGGATTGAGGTCGGGTGAACGAGCAGGTATACAGAAAAGCTGCGCAGCTTGATCCTTGATAGCTTTCAATGCAATGGTACTTGTTTGCGAAGGGTCGTTATCCATGATAAACATCTTTCTGCATTCTCGTCCATGAAATAGGACCGGGAAATTTCTGTTTACAAAATCACTGAAATATGCGCCATTCACCTTCGTATATTCCTCAACGAATAACACTCCCCTGTTGTATGCAATTGCGACAAGTAAATGCAAGCGCTTTCCCCCTGCCAGGTTTTTGGATCCTTTAGCCGTAATCTTTAAACCTTCGGCTCTTTTTCGCCACACTTTACCCTTTGGTGCTACGGCTTGCGCCATTGGTCTTGGCTTGTACACGAATGAGACACCGTCGAGATAAAAGGCAATAACCTCGTGGAAATACGTAGGCTCATTTTGTAGTATTTTCTTACATTCTCGTGCAAACTTCACTCGTTTAACGCGGTCCGATCGACTTACTAGTCCTTTCTTGCGCGCTTGTAGATACTGAAAACCTTCACTACGCAGCTCTCAATAAAATGTTCTGTACGAAATGCTGGATAAATGGAGTCCACTGTAAGCGACCAAAGATTTAATTGAAAAGCCAGGATTGTTTTCGCGCAATTTAAATAATGATCTCAATAAGTGCCGTCTATCTCGAGGTGACAATTTTTTGGGCCTTCCTCGTCTTTCCGCTGATAATGATTGGTTTTTGATTTTACTTAAAATACGACGAACAGTTGATTTCGAAACACCCGCCTTTTCCGCAATTTTTCGTAACGAATACTTTCCCTTCGCGCCAAGATAAACCACATGTCCACGCATCTGATCCGTAATGTTGGTATGGTAGACCATTTTTATTGAAATAATGAATTGGTATTCACTCCCTGTAGCCGCAAGCGCGCGAGGATGCAATTTATAGCCGCATTGCGCTTACGTCATGCAATAAGTCTTTATCACATATAATCAGTCACATCATCAAGGTTGGGCTTAATGTAATTGTTCTTAAGTACTTGTGTGGCTTGTGTAATCCTTAGTCACTGTGAAGTAAAAGTAACTCGAGCAATACTTCTCTGTAATGATGTTCCTGTTTTTATTATTAGAAAAAGCAAACTTATGTAAATTACGTAACCTCGAAAAACAACCATTCTAAATATAGTAATGACGCCGTACAATAGAGTAATAATGTACATATTACAAAACGGTTATACGCATTGATTACATCACGCCAAACGCCCAAACTACGGGCACTTGACTCTGTAATCGTAAAGTTAACTTCAGTTTTATAGAAGTGTAACTCACCGAGCATGATATAGACAATCTTTGCCAAAAACTATGAGACAAATAGTGAAAGTTCATATAACGTCTTCTGTCTATTTCCCCCCCGCGCCCCCCGTTCAATGTTGATGTCACAAAAAATGGATACATCGCAAACGAGACGTCATCCGGCATCAACGCAACATTGAAAAGGGTGGGGTGAGGGAGGGATGAATATTCACGTGGAAAAGTTGTACAATGTCTATATAACGTTTTTGAAACTACATTGTCCCATAGTATATTGTCAAAGATTGTAGCTTAGGTGTTCTAGTCTATTTACATACTTACACTTTTGTTTGTATTAATTGTCATATAATTATATAGTTCAACTGACCCAACAATTGATCTGGACGACAATTCAGATGATGGAATATCTGGAGAGGACATTTAGTGAGTTTTGGTATTTCTTGTTTATTTATACTGTATACAGTGGTCTGAATTTTAAATATGGGTATTGTACAGTATGCTACCATACGTTATCAGAGTATAGGCCGGTGGTGGTGGCTTATTTGTTTGCCTTTTTTACTGTCCGTATTTACTTTACCAATGTGTTTTACATATATGCCATTCATGTCAGGCACAGATTTCCTGGGGGCTGCAGGGGGGGAGGGGAGGGGGAGTACGCATCCGCAGAAATTATACAGGGTATATATTTTGATTTGATAGTTTCATATTTGATTATTTTTACTACTAAATTTGTAAAATTACCAATATTATGGTCTCAGACTTCGCCATGCATGCCTAAAAAACAAATTTCGTTAAACTTTTTCTTTGGCCTTTCCAGGCGTTGCCACCAGGCCCCAGCCAATGCAAGCAGCAGCACCCCCCAGATATTTACTGTACCCCCACCCCGAACGAAAATATGAAAATCGATCTCTGATTCATGTCAAATGACCAAACCATAGGTTTTATACCGTTAAAATCTATAAATATGGCCATTGAAAACTTCTTAACACGGGACAACATGTTTGCCAACACATGTATAGTGTACTGTATGTATAATTTATTCCAATCCATTAAGCTGTAATTAATGTGCTTAGAATGCAACTTTTTTGCTATATGCATAGAATATTGTTTAAAATACTGGGTAAATTGATATATCTGTTTTGCAAACAGTTCCATTGAGTCTGATGTTGATGATGATGAACAGAAAGATCTGACAACAACAACAACAACAACAACAACAACAACAACAACAACAACAACAACAACAACAACAACAACAACAACAACAA